CCCTGGCAAAAAGTGGTGGGGAAATTCGCAAATAATAATTATTAATAATTATAATAATAATAAAAGGTGTTTCGTTTTTTTTTTTTTTTTTTTGCGTCAAAATATTTCTCAAACGGCAGTCATCTAAAATAATTCTGAATTTTCAGCTTCAGAATCATGAGTTGTTATTTTGGTGTCACCATTGTTACAAGCACCAAGTCCAAGCCTATTCATTTAAACCGACAATGTAATATCAAATTTAGCATTTAATCAACAGTACATTTTTTGTTAACCTTTTACCATATGTCTTGGAGTATTGCAATATTATCGTATCGTGAGTTCAATATCATCATGATATGTATCGAATCGCGACATGAAGGTATCGTCACACCCCAAATAATTTCTAAATGAAGTATAGCATTATTTACAAACCAGTTGTTTAAGAGTTGTTAGTCAGTGGCGCAAAAAGTGGGTATGTGCTATATGTGGCGCATGGGGCGCAGCACAATGGGGGGGGGGGGGGCAAAGCGATGTTAAAATTTTTTTTTCAAAATATATATGCTATATTGTATTTCTACATGTAGCTGCTGTTGTGCGTATCTAAATCATTTCTGCATTCCTTCAATGTTATATCAAATTTTAGAGGACTAACAGCCAGGCTAGAGTAGGCGCCCTCATGGAGAAGGGGGAAGGGTAATATCGCGAGCAGGCGGGGGCGCCGTGACTCATTGGATAAAGATGGATAAAACAAAATGCTGTGGGGCTAAAAATAGAAAAAAAAAAGAGAGAAAAGGAGATGGCATGTCAATTGATGTGACAGCAGCTAAATAACTGCATGCATTGCTGAAAGCCAACAGGTAGGATTTAAAATGTGACATCCAGGCATGTATCTCGGTGGCCATCGGGACTACCGGGAGATTCCCGCTGGGCCGACGTGCTTTTTCAGCCGATACATCTCATCCTTTTTTATTTATTTGTCTTAACGGCCCACAAAACTCATAAATCGGCGGCCCATTAGTTTGTTGTTGCTTGTTGGTTTTTTTGCTGCATACCCCTCTGAAACTGGGTAGTTGCGCCCCTGTTGTTAGTCATTCATAAGATCACTTAGAAAGTGTAAGTAAATGTAGTAAATACAGGTAGTTATAAAGCATTTAGTAGTGGTTAGTTAACTATTTTTGTGAGCTAATCTAAATTGAGGACTATTCATGCTTTGTAAAGCATTTATAAAGACTCGTCAATCTTCTAAACAGTAAAGCCCCGTTCACACCGCCAGCGACACGCAGCGACAAAGCGACAAGATCCCATTAATTTCAATGGAACACTGGCGACATCCGGCAACACGAGCGACAGTGACCGTTGGAGACAGAATGTGGGCGTGTCAAGCAGCAAGAGACAAGCGACAAAAGTTGAGGATTTTCAACTTTATGCTAATGAGAAGCGATTTTCGAGAGCGACAACGAATAGGAAAGAAGACCTTCAGTGGAGCTCACGTCACCGAGTGCAGGGCAGGCAAGACATAAAGAAAGAGTTTGAGGACGATTTCACTGTTTTATATGATTTGGCTGTAACCACATACATGGATAATAAGATGATGCATTGAAAAGAAACTGTTGACAGTCTAAGTGAGTTTAATTCATACATTTAACGTTATAGTTTGAGTGTTGTATAATGTTGAATACTGTATCTTACTTACTGCAGAATTAATAAGGAATTATTGACGAACTAATAGGTAATTCTTCATTAACTACTTCTTCACTACTGTTAACTACTAAGGAAGATGTGTTAACTAATTAGTATGTAATATAATTTTATGATTGTGTTAAGTATCAGTTAGTTAATCAATAACTAATGAATTCTGTCACCTCCTGAAGAACTACTACCAATTATCTACTAATTACGGTTCAAGAAAAATAACTAAGAAGTAACTACTGAACAGTCATACAATGTGTGTCTGTTTTCCTCAGCATAGAATGCCACTGAGTAAATTCATGTATTTGAGGCAACAAATGAGGGAAACTGAAAATATAGGGAACTTATTAGTAATTAATAAATAAGTATCAAATAATTCTGCAGGAATTACTTAGAAGCTGGAACAGTATTCTAAAGTGACAATACAGGGAACCCAGTAGTAATTAATAAATAATTATCAAATAATTATCTAGGAATTAGGCTACTTATAACCTGAAACAGTCTTCTAAAGGAAAAATATAAGGAACTTATTAGTAATTAATAAATAATTATTAGATAGTCCTTCAGGAATTACTTAGAACCTGGAACAGTATTCTAAAGTGACAATACAGGGAACCCATTAGTAATTAAAGCTGCAAGCAGCGATGGGCGGGCCCTCGCACCTGTAGCTCGTCGGGGTGTGAGGCGGCCGCGTTGCATATTCTGCAGCTCAGCCGGTGCGGCTGTGAATTTGGTTCGCTGCTTCGTTAAAGGTCACTGGCACAATTTTTTGGAAATTACATACACATACTGTGAAGTTTGCTACTACAAGCGAAATTACATTTATGCGAGGGACGGGGACCAGTGGCGTCATGTTTACTTGTCATACGGGTGCTTCTGTGGCAAATGTGAGGAGATGGCTAACATACAGAACAACAACATATATGCAGTTTTTAATACAATATCTTTAAATATATATAAACGTGTGGTTACACACTATACAAACAAGGTTTAAATTATATAGCCTACACAGACATCCTACGACGACAACAACTTTAGACGCATTTTTTGTTGAATTGGCTGACATTGACTGAAAAGACTATTTGCTCAAAAATCATAAAACACACTTACTGTTACTGGGGTGACGGTGGATCGCAAACAGTAGACGACGATCCACACTTGAGGATTAACTTTTAAGCTACAACAACAGGATTAACCCACGAGTCCACGACAGAACACTTATGTTTTCAAGAGACATTACCGGCTGTCGTTGTTGAAACAATGGAGGATGATGTGTACAGATCACCGAGGGCGGGGTCTAGGCCACAACCACACTGTCAATCAAACCCCTGTCTCCCTTTCTACGTCACAAAGAGCTGAATCTCAGAACAGCTCGTTCTGAGACAGTGCAGATGATTTATCGAGATTGTAAAAAAACCACTGGGTGGATTTTTATCATTCTAGGGTGGTTTTGCTCACACACTCCCAACACACATTTATGTTCAAACACCATGTAAAAGTGAATTTTCCATAATAGGTGCCCTTTAAAACGTTTTTGAAAAACACCCCTGAAAAACAGGCGAATCTCCACATAATACCGACTCTGACATAAAAGTCGGGATCATTAATATGTATGACCCAAAATATTTGCATATGCCAGCCCATGTTCAGTGACAGACGAGACGGAGCTGCGCAGTCGAAGCATGGGAGTTGATCCGTGTTCGGATGTACACACGAATACAAAAGTATATTTTAGTTCCTTCGTTCGAGCCTCTGAAGAAACAATGGGTTAATTTTATTTTCTCTGGAAATTTCCAAACATTTCACCGACGACTGTTTCCTCAACTTCCCAAGAGCTGGCCTCGGACCGAGCTGATGTGTTATTGTTGTTCAAGTTCAGACAGGTAACGTTAATCTTGCACTTATGCATCAGTAAGTCAAGCCAGGGAGTTCACATCGTTTTTTTTTTGTAGGATGAAAAAATAATAATAATTGTGAATAAATTATATACAGAAAGCGATCAATATCTTTCCACACAGCGCGAGATGTTTATCTGGACACTTGCCAAACTCGTTATGAATTCAATGACGCACGTTACACTGCACACAAAGATTTTGCTGTATTTACATGATCGTGTCAATACTCAACACTTCTAAATACTTCAAAAACATCTCACGATTCGTTAATGTCGATAGCTGGAGTAAAATTATACGAAACAGTTTCACATGTCATACATAGCTATTTTATATGCAAGCATGTCAGCCAATCACAGCAGAGACCGGTTACACACAGCAGACACGCCCCTTCCAACAGAGCGTTCAGATCAGAGGCTAAAATCAGGCTAGGAAAAATGCCTTTTATTTCTAAATTATGACTATTTTTGATCTAAAAAACATACTAACATTATAAGGGCAACCCAGGAAACATTATAAAATAATTTAAAAAAACATTTTAGGGCACCTTTAAGCGAAATTACTGGACTTAAATATACAAGCTTGATAAAAACTAACATTCTTGAAGAAAATTTCAAATGGCACTTAGAGGCTTTTGCATCTGAACTCTTCATATATATATGAAGAGTATATAACAAAGAGTTAGGATGGGAAGTAATATCTCATCTGAGCTCACTTTAAGCACAGGAACACCACAGGGCTGTTGTCTTAGCCCACACATGATTGCGGTACTGACCGGAACAACACTGCTATAATTAAATATGCTGATGACACGACTGTCTTGGGCCTGATTAAAGGTTGGGATGAGACTGGTTACAGGGAGCTGATTGATAATATTCTGGCTTATGGGGAGGACAATGATCTCATTCTGAATATAGATGGAACTGATCATGGACTTTAGGAAGAAATCCATTCTACAGCCATTGATAATCAAGGGGACTGAGGTGGAAAGAGTTGAGAGTTACGAGTTCCTAGGCCTGCGAGTGTCTTCAAATTTGAGTTGGACCATAAACACTGCTGTCACAGTGAAGAAGGCCCAACATCAGGCTGCTAAGGAACGCAGGACTCCGCCGTAACCCACTTATCCAGGCCTATCGAGGACTTGTGGAAAGCATCCTAACAAATGTTATCATTGTCTGGTTTGGAAGCACCACCCAAGCAGAAAGGAGAGCTCTCCAGCGGAGAAGATCATTGGATCGGACCTTCCTTCTATGGACACTTTATTCACACAACGCTGCAGGAAGAGAGCTAAGACCATTCTAAAGGACACACACCACCCTGCACACTCTATGTTTAAACCTAAACACTCAATATACAACTTGAGCTATAATAGACCGGACAGTATTATTTCACACAGGGTGCGCTTCTTTCCAGCTACTGTGAGACTGATGGTGTTATAAAGGTAGCGCCAAAGCGCCATCTAGTGGCCATTAGCGGGTGGACTGGAAGTGATTGCGCATGAGAAATGCGCGTGATACAAACGGCTGCATTCTCCACAGGAAGACTGTTCAAGAAGTCGCGGTGCAGTGTTCGTGTTTAACATTAATAACGGTGTACGTCCTTATGAGAAAAGTGAGTTTTATTTATCCTTTACTTGTTTAGAATTGATTGGATATGTGAATATCTAGAAATACTCAAGTATTTGGGTCATAAATCCACTCAGGAGAAATGACGAGTTATGCAGTGCAGTTGGCAAAGAATGGACGTCACTGTATGCTTATGTTTATGTTGTTTAACTGAGTTGAGTGTTATGCTTGTATTATCATTATATTTGCATTATTTGTTCTGTACAGATTAGTTAAGGAATGGTGATTCACGAGTTATTAGTCACCTGGTTGAGCTGGTGTATTGTGCTATAGTGTTAAGCTGATAGACTTAATCAATAATGCTCGTTTATACAGTATATGTAACCTTTATTACTGTTTTGTTTATTTTCAGCTACACTAATACACTCAAGCCCAAAATGTTAACCTACCATGTCCATTAATATAAGCTGAGAGGCAACTACTACATTCAAATCTGCACCTGTAATTGATGTCTAATGTATGTCTGTGCTGCTGAAGAAAGTTGAGTAAAACGTTCAATCTGATCCATGCCTCCTGTCCTGCGTTTTGACCGACGCTCCAGGGCGAGAACTATAGCCTCCTAAGCACCTGTGGTCCTTTCTCTCAAATATTGGTCCTTCGAGCCGGATCTCAGTGCTTACCTTGGTTAAGGATGGCTACTTCTAAATAAATGAGTGAAGCCCTTTCAGTATCTGTGCGGCCAAAACGGCAAGTCAGACTGCCAACCTATTTGTCAGACTACCAAGTGAACATAACAGGCCACAGAGAACTGACTTCCTCTTATACAGAAGATACTGCAGCACAGACTACATTTAGACTTGGAAAGGAGTACGATGCAGAGAATGATGAAACTGCTAGAATGATGTACTCAGCGGGACCTGCATCGGCCAGATCTGGAAGTCGGTATGAAGCAAGAGATGAGTGGGGATCATTTTATACTGAATTAGAGGACATTCAAGCTCAGTTTAGCCAAGACACCAAGCTCATTCAAAGTTTACGCGATCGAGTGCGCCAGCATGTATTGGCCAAATGCCGTGGGACTTTGGAGGAAACCTCAAGTGCAGATACTCACCTATTACTGGAAGACAGCCGAGCCCTTTTTCCTGTAACAGGGCAGCCATTTTCACACCCTGCTCCCTTATCATCACCAGCTTCCTTCTTTGCTTCATCGCAAGTCTCTCCACTCCGATCCCAAGTATCATCGGCGTCCTTGGTTGAGTCACATTCAGTTACCCGCGTAACACCACAGAGACCTATACCGACAGTGGAAGGTCCTCAAGATGATGAGTCATGGCCTGAACCGCCACCTCCGGTATGTGATGATGTTCCTTACATAGCTAGAAAAGAGCGTGTATTCCCAGTCACTCATGCTACTTCTGTTAGTTATTCAAACCCGGTGAAACTAGCCACCGAGAGAGCAGTAGCACAGCCCTACTATGGACGGTATGCTCCAGTCAGTGGAAACTCATTCCATAATCATTCATTCAGGCCTCACAGAGAGGATAACAAATCAAGCCTCATGCCACACAATACACAGGGTCAGTACAGTTCATCGTATTATCCCCTCAACTGCCCTCCAACCCATGCTCCATATTTAACGCCTCATTCTGCACCCTGGATGGTCGTTCCTTCGCCACCTCAGCAACAATCTGTGTATGCTCCACAATCAGTGAAACAGACTGAACCATGGCCTACACACCCAGAAATTTCCTACAATCAGCCACAACCCTCACCTCATGAGATTGTTCCCTCATCGTCTCAAGCACAAGAGAAAGTCTATCTCGGCCCTAAGCCACGTATTCCCATGTTGATTCATCGAGACCCTGCAGAATTTGCCAGGCTGAAGATGTCATTGGAGAACCTACTGCCATCAGGTGCTACCGAGCTCTTCAAATACCAAATATTGGTCGACCATCTTAAATTAGAGGAAGCCTCCCTTATCGCTGACTCTTACCTGAACTCTACCACTCCATACTCGGACACAATGACAGCCCTAAATGAGAGATTTGGTCAGCCGCATCAGTTAGCACTCAAAAGAATAGCACAGGTCATGGATGCTCCTGACATCAAACGAGGAGATCATGAGGCATTTCAAAGGTTCGCACTGCAGATCAGAGCCCTTGTTGGGATGCTGGAAACCCTTGGCGCAGAGGGAGAAGTGGAATTAAAATGTGGCTCCCACGTCGCCAGACTGATGGGTAAACTACCTTCAGAGTTGTGTGCAGACTTCCGCAGACACCTATATTATCAGTCTGATTCAATGTATACATTACCTGAATTCTCCAAGTGGCTCCAGTATGAAGCATGGTGTCAAGGCCATACCGAACCACCCAACAAACGTAATCAGGAGAGCCGGACAAAGCCAGCCCGCTTCACCAGACCAGCCACTATTCTCCATGGTGCCAAAGCTGCCTCACAGATGAAGGGACCAGCATCAGGACCTAAAGAGTTCACCTCAGGCAAGAAGAGAGTTAAAGTGCAACCATATTGTCCATACTGTGAAAGCTCTGAACATTTCTTAAGTCAGTGTGCTACTTTCCAGACTTTCTCTCCTGAGCAGATCCATAAGTGGATTATTGATAACAAGAGGTGCATAAAATGTGGTCGGTCTCATGCTGTTACAGACTGCACTCTCAAGAAACCTTGCAGCATTTGCCAGAACAAACACCTACAGATACTGCATGGAGTAAATTCTAAGGCAAGAAAAGAGGGCATATGCATGTTGAGCTCCGCAGTTGGCACTGCTTATCTAAATCGACCTACGGACTGCAGCCGGGTATTGCTGAAGGTGGTAAAGGTTCGTCTGCAGTATTGTGAACAAGCTCTGGAGACTTATGCTGTACTCGACGATGGTTCGGAGAGGACCATACTCCTCTGCGAGGCAGCAAATAAGCTTGGCCTGCGTGGAATTCCTGAGGAACTGGCCTTGAGAACAATAAGGCAAGAAACCCAAGTACTTCAAGGAGCATCTGTTTCTTTTAGTGTTTCCCCTGCCTCACAGCCAAACCGGAATTACCACATTAGTGGAGCATTCACTGCTCAGAATCTGGGACTGGCTGATCATTCTTACCAACTGACCATCTTGCAAAAAAGGTATAAGCACCTCAGAGGTTTGCCCCTTGAGCCCTTTGATCAAGTTCACCCTCTTCTTCTCATTGGAGCTGACCAGCCTCATTTGATCACACCAACAGAACCAGTGCTTTATGGACCACCAGGAGGACCGGTCGCTATACGGACCAGGTTAGGGTGGACACTGCAGGGCCCAGCTAGGGGTCTACCACAGTATCCTAGATCACAGAACTGTTACCTGACCTCAGTAAACTCTGAAACAGCTGAACTTCTGAGAAATGTGGAGAAGCTGTGGCAGGTGGACACGCTACCATTCAAATCAGAGAAACAGATAACTAGATCCCGAGAGGATCAAGAGGCACTCTCACTTCTGGAAAGTAAGACGATCCGTATTGAGCATAACAAGATTCAGCACTATGCGACCCCTTTGCTACGGAGGATAAATACTACCCCTTTCCATGCAACCAAAGATGCTGTCATGCCAAGCCTCCGAGGAACAGAGAAACGACTTGTGAAAGATGAGGACAAAGCTTCCGCATACATTACAGAAATGAGCAAGCTTGAACTGGCAGGCTCAGTACGTAAGCTGACTGAGGAGGAGGCTGCACAGAGTGAGGAATCGTGGTTCATTCCCCATCATTTGGTACAACATAATGGGAAGAACCGCTTAGTATTCAATTGTTCTTACCAATTCCAGGGTCGCAACCTCAACGAATCTCTCCTTCCTGGGCCTACCCTTGGCCCATCACTTCTGGGGGTCTTGCTTCGTTTTCGAGAGCATGCCATTGCAATAAGCGGGGACATAAAGGCAATGTTCCACCAGGTCTGCCTTCTGCCTGAGGACAAGTCCCTTCTTCGTTTTGTGTGGCGAAACCTCTGCCGTGATATGCCTCCTGTGGTCTATGAGTGGCAGGTTCTGCCGTTTGGGACCACATGTTCTCCTTGTTGTGCCACATTCGCCCTACAAAAACACGTGCACGATCACAGCACCGAGGGAGAAGATGTCAGGAATTCAGTAGACAGATGTTTCTATGTAGACAACTGTTTACAGAGTCTCTCATCAAAAGCTGATGCCAAAGATCTACTTGATAAATTACGTGTCCTGTTGGCATCGGGGGGCTTCGAGATCCGCCAGTGGGCCAGCAACGCCCCTGACATCCTTAGCCATCTTCCTCAAGAAGCTCGCTCAGATAACGCTGAATTGTGGCTCACCCAAAATTCTTCTGATGTTCAAGAGTCTACCTTAGGTCTAAGATGGCATTGCCCTACAGATACCATCGGTTATAAACATCGACTGGATGATTACGGCCCAACCACAATGCGCACTGTGTACCGTACATTGGCCAGACAGTATGACCCGATGGGGCTAATACTACCATATACTACTCGGGCTAAAGTGATTGTACAGAGACTCTGGGATAAACAACGAGAATGGGATGACCCATTACTACCTGAGGAGCTGCTCCAAGCCTGGAATACATGGGTAGCAGAACTGCCTGAATTATCTCGCATTACCTTACCTCGCTGTTATGTTCCAACAACTATGGATCAGCCAGACGTGATACGAGATGTTCATGTGTTCTGTGATGCATCTGAGAGAGCATATGGTTCAGTGGCCTACCTACGCTCAGAAGATGCAGAAGGTGGTGTCCACTTGGCATTTCTGCTGGCCAGATCTCGAGTTGCGCCAAAAAGACAACAATCCATGCCAAGACTGGAGCTTTGTGCAGCAGTCACTGGAGCCCAACTTGCAAAGTTGATAATCAGTGAGCTCACCTTACCAATCAGAAATACCATCTTGTGGTCTGACTCGACCACTGTTCTGACATGGCTCCAGTCAAACTCGTGTCGATTCAAGGTCTTTGTGGGAACCAGGGTTGCTGAAATCCAAGAGCTCACTGATCAGCAATCGTGGAGGTATGTGAGATCAACACTTAACCCGGCAGATGATTTGACCAGGGGTAAATCATTGGTGGAACTAGCACAACCAAATAGGTGGTGTCAGGGTCCATCTTTTCTTTTACAACCACCTGATGAGTGGCCAGAAGCTCCAGCAGGGTCCGGCGAAGAAGATCCTACCGAGCTACGACGTTCCTTGTTCTGCCATTACATCTCAAGTTCTGATAGGTCTGTCCCGGACTCCAGCAGGTATGCTACTTGGAGTGAACTAGTTGAAGCCACAGTAAGCACCCTTCAGCCTAAGGAAGCAGGTCAAGCTGCTCCATCCAGTGCAGGAACTTATCAGCAGGCAGTCTCTCTCCTCCTTAAACATTCTCAGCAGGAAAGTTTCCAAGAGGAATATAACCTTCTCAAAGCCAATAAATCAGTTCCTTCCAGTAGCCGCCTTCTTGTTCTGGCCCCTGAATTTGATGCAACAGATGAGGTCATTCGAGTTGGTGGACGCCTCCGAAGAGCAGAGGATTTGGATCCTAACTTCAAACACCCAATTGTGTTG